GGAGCAGCGCGGCGCCGTGGGCCGCGAGCTCCGCATTCGAACCTCCCTCGCAAAGACAGTCTCCGCCCCACAATGCACCGCGGCGGGCAGCCTTTGAAAAAGCGGCGCGGCTCGTTCAAGATGGCGGAGCTTGACCAGTTGCCTGACGAGAGTGAGTAGCACCTCCAAGCACCCCCCTCTTCCCTCGGGCCGCCTGCCCCGCGGCTGTCCGGGTTGGGACGGGCGGGTGTGTTGTCTGCCCGGCCGGTAGGCTGCCTGCCAGCCCCGCCGCGGTCCCCTAGTCCTCCTAGCCCGATGTTGCTGCCGCGTCGCCGCCTTTGTTATGGTGTCTGTGTGTTGGTTTCTGGGGTTGTGTGAGCGCCAAGGCCGGAAACCGAAAGCCCTTGAGTCCAGCCAGTGCCGGGTGGAGGCGGCGGCTGCTCCCTTGGCTCGACCCCGGCCCGCGGGAAAGGTGGGGGAGAGCGGCCCCGGGACGCGGGGACGCCGCCGGTTATGTAACGCGCCCGTCCGGGGGCCGGGAGGCTCGGCGGGCACCGGCCGGCCACGGCCGCACCTTCCTGCCCAGCTCCGGATCGTGCCCCGTGACAGCGCTTGCCTCTCGGGGACGGGTGCTTTTCCCCTGGAGGCGGCTGCGCGCCGGAGGGCTGGCCCCTTCCCCCGGGACCACAGGTGGCTGGGGCGCCTTTCCGGGATGAACCGCCCTGCACCCAGGGGCTCAGGCGGCCCCGCCCCGCGGGCTTCGCGCTGCGTGGATGTGTCTGCGGAGCTGGTGGGGGTCTTTCCGCACAGATGTGCCCAGCACACATACGTGTACCTTGCTCTGGCTGACATCTGCTCCTGGACATTGCCTCCTTTCACTGGTTCATCCTCATCTCTGAGACCTGGATATGCACTTGTGTGGGGTCAAGAAAAGCACCAGTTCTGTAGCTTAAGGACATTGGAACTTAATTTTGTAATTTTCAGTATTGCACAAATCACATAAAAAGGCAGACACTTTATTTTAACCCTAAGTCTCTGTTGGGTTTATAAAGTATGTATCACTTGGCGAGAATTTTAGTTGAACAAAACAAAAGCTCAATGACTAAAATGTATCTGCATGCAAAATATAGACTTTAAAAATGAGCACTGAAGATACTCCCAATACTGCTTGCTTTGTGGGGTTATAGATTCTTTTTTTTTTTTTTTTTTTATTGAGACAGGGTCTCCCTATGCAGTTCAGGCTCTCCTCGAAATGAAGCGATTTTCCTGCTTCAGCCTCCTGAGTGCTGGGATTACAGGCGTAGGCCACCACGCCCGACCTATATTCTTAATATATTATGAAGTTAACAAGTTGCCAAGCTGGTGAAAAGTTGTATTTAAAATGTTTCTGTTTTAAATTTGATCTAGACCAGCGCTAAGTCCCCAAAAAAACTTTCTCAGGAGGAAAAGGCCTGACTTGAGCAGTGCCCAACAGGATAGACATTAGCTGTGAGTGGTCATGAAGCACTTCAAATGCAGCTAGAATGACTGAGGAACTGAACTTTCAATTTCATCTTAATTTAAATTTAAATAGCTGGTGGCTACTGTATTTGACAAGGCATAGCTGTAGACCTTCCCTGAATTGTATTGTTTCTTGTTTGGAGAATACAGTGGATTGTGTCCTAGCTTGCGCTTGTAAACAGTGGTGTGCCTAATAAGCACAAAGTGTCGTCTGAAAACATTTTTCTTATTTTGGTTCCTTGTAGAGACTTAGGATTTATACCAAGGTTCACATTCCAGCCATACTGTCAACCTGTGTAACCTAGGCATTTGTATTACTGTGTGACATCTCTTGGGGTTGTATGTATATGCCCCACAAAAGGCTCCTCCTATTGCAAGCTGGGTTGCTGATGGAATTTGGGGATGTAGTTGGGTCACAAGGGTCTTACTTCATCAGTGAATGGACCTACTAATGGGATTGTAATTTGATGGCGTATTGGGAGGTGATGGGAGCAGGAGGTGCGGTCTAGTTGAAGGGAATGGGTCTAGGGGCCTGACTTGGGAACGGGGTTTTGTTCCAGGCCACTTCCTTTCCGCCTTCTCTCTCTCTACTTCTTGGCTGCCCTGAGTGAGTGGCTTTTCCACCTCCATGGCTTCTGTCATATTTCTGATGTGCCACAAGCTAAAAGGCCACACAGCTAAGTAGCCATGGACTGAAACCATGAGCCAAAGTAAATCTTTTCCTCTTAGTTGCTGGTCTCAGGTATTTGGTCACAGGAACGAAAATCTCACTAACATCACATCTCTGGTCTGTTGGTTTGGGGGGTGCCTGCATGTGTGTTTGTGTGGTATATCTTGTTTAGCTAGACTACAGCTTTGTGGAAAGCAGGGATTGCCATACCTCGTGTGTTACAAAGTGCCACAAAGCAAATATACAGAAATACTTGATTTATATGGGATTAAATATGGCCGGGCATGGTGGCGCACACCTGTGATCCCAGCACTCAGGAGGGTAAGGCAGGAAGACCATTGCAAGTTCGAGACCAGCCTGGGCTACAAAGTGAGCTCAAGGTCAGCCTGAACTATATCAGCGAGACTCTGTCTCAAAAAAAGACATAAATAAATAAATAAATGTGGAGTAACAGGCATATTAAAATGGAACAGGATCTTGAAAAGGAAGAACAGTTTCAGTTTGATACTGAAAAGAGAAATTTGATTTTTGGCAAGTTTAGGCAAGGGAGCAAGTAATAATATATTAGCTAATAAGCACTGTAATATTATCAGTAATAAAACCTATCATTAATTGAGTACTTGTTATGGATCAATGCTGTGTAAAGTATATTTATATATATTTTCTTGCTGGGGATATAACTCAGCGGCACAGTGCCTGCCTAGCAAGCACAAGGACCAAAGTTTGATTCCCAGTACCAAAAAAAAAGAAAGAAAAAAACAAGGACTGTATATATTTGCTCATTTAATCTTTAGTTTTAATTGATGCAAGTACTTGATTTTATATGTGAGGAAAGTGAAGCTATCTTTAGCCCAAATCTTTCATCTGAGCACTCCTGCTGTTTCACATCTCCTCTTAGATGCTTTAGAGGCCCATCAAACTTCAGAGCTCAAAATCTATCCCATAACCCTACTCCAGGACATAGATACATCGAGGTGCTCCTGTCTTAATGAATGGTTTCACCATGTACTCAGCTGGCAGAGCAGAACCATAGAGATTATCTTTGAAGCTTTTCTCTTTCACTTCCCTTTGTTTAAGCCTTTACCAAGTAAGTCTTGGAGTTTTCTCTCAATTTCACCTACTTTTACCATCACTTAGCCTAAGTTGTCACTATCTCTTTTCTTACAGGAACCACTTCTGTTTCCCATTAATCCATCCCACAGGCCAAAGAAACCCTTTCAAAATGAACACATGTCCTCCTCCCCTTTTAAACCATCGAACAGGTCCCTGGCAGCTCCCTGCCTTAGCAGTTTCCTGTGTACCACTCTCTTCTCATTCTGTCCCTTTGAGCTAAGTTAGACCTTCCTCCTCCCCTGTATTTGCCAGTCTCCCTTTTCTGCAGGGCTTTTGCAGATGCTGTTCTCTAACTGGAATGCTCCTTACTCCTCTCATTTCCAATTAACTTGTACTTACCCTTTAGTTCTTGTTTTAAGCTGCTTCAGAGTTACTCAGTTATTTGTTCTGTAATCTTTTATACTGCTGTGTAATGTCGGAGTTGCAGCTGTCACACTTACAGTTTTCCATTTATGTGATTACTTGTGTTGGTATCCCCACCAGAGCATGCACTATTTCTTTTTCTTTCTGTCTCTCTCTTTGTCTGTCTGTCTGTCTGCCTCCCTCTGTCTCTCTCTCTCTCTCTTTCTTTCTTTCTTTCGTATTGGGAATTGAACTCAGGACCTTCCACTTACTTACCGGGCAGGCCCTGTGCCACTGAGCTGTCTCCCATGTTTCTTTTTTCTGCTTGCCTTCCCAGCTTTGTGTCACAACATCTGGCTTACTTCTCTGCCCTTTTAACACTTTCCTCTCCTTCATAGCAAATACAATCCCCTCCCATTTCCTTGAATATTCTGAACTAGTTTCTCAGGTTTTTTCCTACTCTTTCATCTGCATCATGCTTTGACCTGCTCTCACCCGGTTAGTCTTCTCAGATGTTACTCCTCTAAAAAACTTACCCTATGTAAAGTAACTCGCCCCATACACAACTGTCACCCAATTCATTTCCTTTAGAGCAAAACTGCATGAAGTGTAATTATTATTTCATATGCTTATTGTGTGTCTCTTGTGAATGTAAACTCCCTGTAAGCAAAGGCTTTATCTCATTCCTTGGGGTTTCCTCAGCCCCAAAAACAGTGTTTGTGGCAAGCATTCAGTACCTACTGGTTGAGTGAATGAACGAGCATACCCAGTTAGAGCAAGAGAATAATCACATTCATCTGTCTGCAAAATTATACTCTTAGCCTAATAATTTTTGGTTGATCACAGTGAATGCAAACAGTAATCACTGAATGAAGGTTAGCTGGGTACAGTGTACACTGTTACATACTCTCCACTTTAAACACATGTAAATGGAAGTGTAGAGAGGGGTCAGTAACTTGGGGAAGGCATCATACCAAGAAAGTGACAGACTCAAGATTCTAACACAGCTATTCTCAGTCTAGATACAACCTGTTCTCTTGGCCACA